GTGTGTGTGTGTGTGTGTGTGTGTGTGTGTGTGTGTGTGTGTGTGTGTGTGTGTGTGTGTGTAGTATGTGTGTGTGTGTGGCACGGGATGCTTGCTAGCTAATCTTCAATTCCCACGACTCAAGCGATCGGTAGGCGTATACACTTCGCAGTAGTAGGCCGGGCGGGCGTGCATATTCGACTATCTTTAAATATTAATATTTTGTTAATTATTGGGGAACTTACAAAATAGTAGAGGACTTTTCGACTCAGTTTAGTCTCTACCTGATATATTTGGCGATTATTTCCAGATCCCCTGTATATACATATGTAGACTATATTAAAACGTGCAATCGGAAAGATAGTGATTCCTTATGAAGAGAGATAAAAATTGATATATAGATATTAAGAAAAAAATATTATGGAGACATTTCTTTGTGGAATAAGTCATTTAAAAGTTAAATAAATATATAAATTAAGATATATAGAGTTTATAGAATAGGACTTTCAAATTTAAAGATATCAGACCTTTTTATTAGAAAAATAGGATAAATGAAAATACAGCATGATATTTAGTGCATAAAAATTCACAAATCAAATGATTAATAAATTAGAACATAAATATATAGTATATTTAGCTTGCTTAAAAGTCGAACGTTTCGGTCACCTTTGAGGCCATCCTCAACGATGTACGCGTCATACTCTCATTTGCCCTATTTTTCTAATAATGTTTGAGAGTCCTTATTAAGTTTCTTTATTTCAGATCTTTTTATTTTACACTAGTTTAAAGCAAATGTCATAACATAAGAAATAGAGTTAGTGTAGATTATTAGTCATAAATTGAACTCATTATGAAAAAATACAAAAAATGATCTCAAAAATACACATTTTTTTGTTTATTTTGGTGATCCTTGAATGTTGAATCGAACTATATGACAAACGATGTTATATGTATATACAAGAAGAGAAACGGCGAGACGTGTGAGCAGTGATGCCAGGCAGTGAACAACAGCGCACTTCCCCTCTTGCCTCTCTAATGCGCTGATATACAGTCAATGACCATCTCCTGTCGTTCGATTGGGAAGGGCATACTCGACTGTAGTTAATTCTTACATTCTGATCCAGTTTAAATCCTCGGTGGAAACTAGGCCAATATTTGATAAACTAGATCGGACTATATTGGCTCGTGCACACAGAATTCGACAACGCTTGCCGCGCAGCAGAAATTGATTGAAACAGTCAATCAACATCTCGCTTACTCGAAAGTAATAGATATATAATTTCCACCGGGGCAAAAGTTGCACTTAATCCAACTTTTGCGCGGCGGAAGTAGTATTACATCATTTCTAGAAGTTTTGCAAAGTCGATTTGAGAACATAGAACTATAGGCTAGTGCAACAATTTCCGTCGCGCGGCAAGCGTTGCTACGTTCTGCAGGAGCCATATCTCGAGTGGCCGGAGCATTTCTCTCGGCGTGTTCTCAATCGTGCAATTGCAAAAATTAATATCTCGATTATTATTACCAATACCGCTAAACGATGGGACTTTTGAGTTCATCTTGATCCCATCTGCCTTCCTATGGGAAAAGTATCGCGGGACACTCTGTAAAAAGATACTAATCTCAGGAAAAAATTTTTAGTTGAGCATAGGGCTTTCGGATATACAGAGAGTTAAATTTCTATTGTTCTTAATATTGCCCACGCTATAAAAAGAAAGTTAATGTGGTTTCTGCAATATAAACCATTACCTTTAGCTTTAAGTCTTAAGCCATAGAGAGATTAACCAATCACAATCAAATGTGAAAAAGAATAATTGACTATGCTTGATTAATTTCTTATGGCTTAAATCATAAATCTAGATTTACAATAAATGTTTCAAGCCTCAAGTTGTAAGCAATTTACCAATTGCAGTCGAATACAAGAAAAATAATTGATTATGAACATTTATTTCTTATAACTTAAGGTTCCTAAATAGTCATTACAATTATAATCATATTATATTGAATGATGTCAGAAGCGAGAACTAACACGTTTTTATAACGTCCCATTTATAAATAAAGACAATTTAGATAAAACAAAATGATGAGATTGCTTTAAAACATTTGTAAAAATGGACAAAAACTTTGCTTATCCCCCCTGACAATAAATAATCAATCGTAATCGTAAATAACATTATGACAATAAATAACATAATTATTAATCGTAAAAAGTGATAAAGGCATATTAAATGCTTTTATTCAATGCGCATGCGTAGCTTATTTTCACTTACACGGGTCTTTTATCACTTTTTTTTTATTATTTACTGATTGACAAGGGGGATAACCCCTTGTCAATATAGTTTTTGTCCATTTTTACAAATATTTTAAAGCAATCTCATCATTTTATTTTATCCAAATTGTCTTTATTTATAAATGACATGTAATAAAAATTAATGTGTCATTTCTCGCTTCTAACGTCACGATTTAATATGATTGTAACTATTTAGGAGCCTTAATGCTTAAAAACTTATTGTTCTGATCTGAAATTAAACTTACAGATAATTGCTTATTGTAGAAAGCTCAAAATATCTCCTTATAGTCCTTTTTTCCTCATTGAGTAATTCTAGAAACGCACCCGTAACATTTGATAGATATGTATAAGAGTTGAAATAGGATGTAATGGGAATGGAATATATGTACATTAGACTTTCCATTTAGACAGATTCTCTTCACTTGTGACGTGATTTAGTATTTATTATTTTAAATAACTTCTTCTGATTTATTTCTTATTTAATATTTTAAATAAGATTTTGGAACTTATTTTATATTTTTTATTTTAAATGAGTTGTATCAGCTTTTTATCGATTTTGTATTTTAAATAATTTTCTGGAACCTATCTATTTTTTTATTTTAAATAAATTATATCAGTTATGTTACTGATTCGATAAAAGTGAGTAATTAAATTATTTAAGTATATTTATGATTAATATAGCATGGGAGTATGAAATATCACCCATATTAATTTTCCACTTGATTCACATAGAGTTATAATAATATTATTAAATATTAATTATAAGCTATAGCTATAAAAAAAACTGAAACGTCATACTTATAAATTTATATTCAAATAAACAAAATCATTAAAATATTTTGTATTTGAAACGTTTATTTAAAATACATATTTTTTATTTTATATTTTAAGTAAGTTTTCGAAATTTATTTTTTATTTAAAATAAGAAATATCTTTTGAAAATTTCAAAATAAAAAAGAAGTTATTTTTATATTTTAAATAAAAGTTATTCTATATTTTAAATAAATAAATACATTTTCAGGCCCTATTTCTTATTTAATATTTTAAATAAATTCTTGAAACCTATTTCATATTTTCTATTTTAAATAAATCGTATCAGTTATTTTATCGAGTCCTGGTAGCTTCTTTATTGTATTTCCTCTAAATTTCTTAAGTTCGGCCAGCCTGAAATTACATCCGTTTTGTATGTAATTTTGACCGCAATATTGAATAAAATCCCTATAAACTCGATCAACTTGATAACACATGCGAGCTAGAATATTCCCATGGCATTTTCCTCGCGATATTATATTAAATTGGTGCGAGAAATACGGCGCCATCTCGCGGATTGCTATTGCGCTCCGAATTATTCCTGCCGAATTCCTGCAATCACGTGAACAAATGTCCTATCATGAGAATGGCGTCTATAGTCAGAAAGAATTCAGTTCTTAGTGGAACACGAGTATCTGCTTATCACTCTCAGTTACTGGGCGATTAGTCGACAGTTTTCGATTGCAGTGCAATTGCGAAACCAGTAGAAAGGTGGATCAGCCAGATTAACGTTAATCGGATTGCCCTTGTACTAGTGACCAGATCTTTCGAATACCGCTGCTTTACGGCGCCGAGTTCACCATCGCAATACGCGATTTCTATCTATATATTCTATATATACGCGGTCAACGACGGTTATCGTTTAGTTTATGCCGCATTGGCTATTGCCATTCGCCCCGTTCCGAGAAAATCGATAGTAGCTTGGCAAAGCGCAGTACGACATTAAATACAGATTATACTGTCCTCAGAAATCGAGTCTTTTGAATTTTCAGTCGAATCATCAATCCCTTTCTCGCACGATCGCAATCGAGATCGAATCAGCGA